AAATAAAATATCAGCCTGTGAAGCTGGGATTTCTATAGGCCTCCAAACCTGCCGAGATCGGACATCCAAATATTCTAGAGATTTCAAGACTTTAACCTGAGGCCACAGTCAGTATTCATCTAGTTATAGTACCGAATATTCATCCTCAAACATCAGAAATCTAGCTCAAGTAGATTTGTAGATAATGGAATTTTTAAATGATCAAACACGAAGGTAAATGAAACAAATGACAGCGGGGTTTCTCTCCCTTTTTCAGGTAAATCTGTGACAGCCAGATCTTTTTTAATCTGATTAATTGACATGGAACGAGCCTTTGTTGACCCAAAGGTTTCTGTTTCCAGAAAGCTCGAAATAAGTTTGGCATTCTTCACCCCTTTTTGCATAAAACAGTATCCAAAAATCCAAAATCATTTAGTCTTTTAGTCTCGTCTCCTCCTGCTTTCATCTCGTCTTCTAAGTGGATCTCTTGTTAATATACAAATAAAAAAGTCTGTATGAGCAATGCTGCACAGATTATCTTGTAACGAAGTTATTAAGATCCTTTTATCACTATCTAACACCCCAATCTCTCTCATATATTACTTTTAGTGATGTTTCACATCTTAGAGACAACTTTTATGACAACTTTAGCCAATTCACACCAAGTTTTACATTAATTTATATGATTCAATACATTAAACATGAAGCTTTTATGAATTCGGTTATCGTGTAACCCTCCTGCTTCTCCTCACAGTTCAGGTGCCTTTTGATTCGACTGCAGCGTGTATTCAAATAATCTCCTTTAGCTCACAAATAATATAAAAGATACTGAACAGGTAAAACAACTTCACCTTAAAGAGCTCCAGCATTAAATATGCAGAAAAAACACTAATGGGAGTACAGACTAATGAGCTGGCACTTCACGAAGAAATGCAGTGTTTGTACTGCAGTGTTTTTGCATAATTTTATAGTAATGGGCCTCGGTGGTGAAAAGCATCATTTTTTTCTGCGGTGAGTGAACGAGGAGCTGCTTCTTTAGCCTAAAGGTTAATGTTTTACATCATTAACGACACGTCACTTTGGAGGATGTTAATGCAGGGGATTTCTGTTTGGGGCAACAGTAATGCTGAACTTTATGGGTTCTTTCACAAACTGGATGTGAAAAGAAAAACTTGTACCTTTGTGGTGACATTTAGTTTACTTGTTTCCAAACTGGCTTGCCCACATTAACAACACTGGGAATAAACAAGAGTTAAAGCCTCGTTTCTCCCAGGAGCTGAGTCAAAAACGATGGGAGCACCTCAGCTTTTTCAAAAGTTGAAGGGGACCTGTGCCTTTCCCAAGTTTCTGTCATATATTTATAATGGCATGATGTACATGACGTCACTACATACAAGTAATCCTGTGAGTCGTCAGCGCTGACTTCAGACTGCTTTAGAGACTTTGTTCCTTTTACCCATGGCTCTGTATGATGTGAGTGAGAGCCGACGTCTTTCATGTACTCATCTCAGGCATACGGCTCTCTCCCTCCCACCTGTTTGTTTGCAAGTAGCAGCCAATCAGAAGAAGACTGGCTAAAGGGGGGTGTTGCCATGAGTGTATTTTTTTTTCATTCTTAACCCTCTTTTTTGCTTGTTTAGCAAAAAATTATATAGAGTAAAACTCATGCTTGATATTTAATTTCTTCATATTTTAGGTTTCATTGGGTAAAAGACAGAAGAGCTCAATCTGCTCTTGTCACCAAGGCTCAGTATAAGATAAATAAGGATTATTTTGAACTGTGAATCATTTGAGGATATTAATAAGGCTTATTCAAATATATCAATGATTACTGTCTCAGACTGACAAAAATCACTATCAATAGTATCAAAAATCACTTCCTGCTACAAAAGCAGGCAGTGTGTTCAGCCAGTGGTGGCTACATTTCATGTCAGAATATTATTAAATCAGCTTAAAACAAAGACTACCTTTTAAGGAAGATGGAAGCTGCAGACATGCATCTAACATGCAACATCTACATGCGTACATCTGTAGGCTGCTTCTGCTTACAATCTCCTCTGAAGCTACCTTACTAATCTGCACCTAATGTTATATTTCCTGTGTTTCTTTTTTCCAAAGCATGATCCAGAGAAGGCACAGGATAGATTTTTTTTTTACCCCCCGATTTTCTTTTTCTATGTCAAATATGAATAATTACTTTCAATTTCCCCACACCTTCTAAAATAAATTGAATTTAAAGAACACCGAATTCCTTTTATGCACTCAGACACGTCCATCTTCCTTTTTCCATCTTCCCAGGTGTGAAAATCCGCCCGTACTCTGTCACTCCAAAGTGCAGACTCGATAATGAATGACTGCAGCGTCGTCTCTGAAGCCTGTCGTTTGCTGGAAACATCTCGCATCACCAACTAACGTTCAACTTACAGGATCCATTTCCAGTTTTTTGTGTGAGGCTCTTTTCACTCGGGCTTAGGAGGCTTATCACATCACTGCCTGTAAATTACTCGCTGTCTGCTTTGGACGTTGCACCACATCCTGATGTGATGGTTTCTCATCAGTCTGTCAGAAGCCTTTGATGCAGCTGATACCTCCTTATTTCTATCCAGATTGTCTTGTGCTATCAGAGCAGATGCTGCACTGCAATATGTTCACGTGTAAAAGAAGCAAATGTTGGTCTGAAGAATCGCCGCTGTGTTTTTAATTTGAAGCGATTATCCAGCGTGAACTCTGCTGTTTGAAGTGGATGCAGTCTTCATTTACAGCACCAGAGTCGTGCAGAAGCATTGAATCAAGGATGGAAACAGGACAAAGTTGCCGTAGAAACATGATGTGACTGATAATGCAATTCTGTCGTGTTACAGAGGAGGAATAATCCAGAATAATGTCAAACAATAGTGATGATAAATTATCAAATTTGTGCCACATTTTTCAGAACAAGGCTCCAAAGTGCAATCGAGTAAGAGAAACAACGTGCCAAAAACAGGAATAAGACTTCCATCAATAATTCGATGAAGGAAGGAGAAGCTTGTGTTGTGAAGCAATGAAAGAATAACTGCTTTTCTAAAAGAGGAAACTATTCTAGCTGTTTTAATGTTCACAGAGACATCTGACAGCATGATCAGCTTTAATACAACAAAACTAACCTGCAAAAAATCTGTAACCTGTTAGAAGCTGAGATTAATCTCTAAATTTCTGTCTTCACTAAGCCTTTATTCTGCTTCATCCCATTGAAATAATAATTATGTAATATATATATATATGGAATATCATCTTTGTTGAGCCTGAAAGTTCAAACTTATTTATGAATTTAAAGTTAGAATTTAAAAAAGAAACGGAAGAAGAGAAGTTGCAGAAACACGTGTGTGCATGTTTGTGTGAATATGTCTGCAAAAAAGCAACTGCATGTCAGGTTTAGTGATGGAGGACCCCAAATGCAGACTCATAGGCTGATGTCACATGTTATAGATGGAAACCTGGCCCATGAGAAATCACAGGAACTCTAGACAGACACACAGAGAGCTATGAAACGAGACGACGGGAGCAGTAACAGTACAGGAACAGGATGATACGACAAAGAGGTATGATACCTAAAAGAGGCAGTTTTGTTGTAGAAACACAGAAATACAAAAACCCAAAAACTCAAGCAAGAAACTACTTCTGTGATTTCTTTGATCTCTTTGATTTTTTACAGTTTCTCTGACTATTGCTCAGACATCCACTCCTGGGAAAATTGTGGTGTTGTGTTAATAAACACTCGCTTGGTCGCACTTGCTGATGATCAGTTAATCAGCTACATTTGATTATTAATGCCTGGCTGCTGCTTCCCCTTTAAAATCCCATAGAAGCATTGACCACATTATTTTTATTATCGCACGATACACGAAAACTTGAAATTCATAGAGGCTGTATTTTCATTTTCCAAGGACTGCAAATGGGATGGAGTGAAAGTGATGCCGGTTCATTAAATCCAGACGTATTCATGTCTGATTGTGCTCGAATGGTTCATTTGAGTAAATGATGCTGAGTAAATGATTTGTTGCTATGATAAGTATGCTTCATTTTAAAACAGTTGTTAATATTTAAAAGTTACTACACTGATGTTTAAATATTTAATCTCTCTTTTTTTAAGTAATGCTCATCTAAGAAAACAAAGTCATTAACTGTGACTGAACACACAAAACAACCTTGAATATGAAATTTATACTCTTGTCATCAGGCCAAAGTGAGAGCTAAAAAAAAACAAATATAGAGAAAAATATGTTTGCGCTTAGAGGCTCAGAATAACGACTCGGCGGTGTCGTTTTATTGCACTCGTTCTGCAAATTCAGCTGCAGCTCCACTAAATTTGATGCTATTAAGAGACAAAACCATTTTAGGTAGCAGACACCCTTTTTGCTGAACGTTTCACACTCAGCAGACTGTGAGAAATGGTGATAGGGAGCGGTGTCACAACAGCTGGAAATGGTTAAGAGATGTGTTGAGTTAATTTTTCATGTCCACAATATGATGGCAGAGACTTTGTACTGATTTTGGAGGATTCAGTAGCCTCTAATATATTGTTTATTTCTTTTGTTTGGTAAAGATGCTTTTTAATGCTCCTATATGTTAAAAATTTAGCATTTTTAACATATGGGAGTCTGTCACTAAAGCCACTAAAGGACCTGCAGTTTTTGGCCCTGCAGCCCGTGATGCACATGTGATCTTTCACTTGACGCTCCGGACACCAAACAGGCTGTTTACTTTAAGACAAAACAGGCCACTGGCCAAATTTATTCCTGTGTTTATGACTTAATTGTTTCTAGCTTCCTAAACTTCTGATGGCTTCACCTTATCTGACCTCACAGTGGAACAAACAGAAAGTGCTCTGGGCTGATAGGTCACGCTGTCCTCCGGCACTCCGGCAGGCCTTACTGACTGGAACAAAAGTAGCATGCTTTTACCCAGTGTGTGTAAAGGTGAAACACACCCCTGCGGTGTATGATTGGCCATAGCTGCAGCATGTCATTCTGAACATCCAATAAAATCGCTGGCCAAAGGTCAGGAACTTCCTGCTTTAAAAAAAAAATTGAAAGAGTTTGTGTGATTTGTTTACTTTACTGAACTTTGCACGTTTGTTTCCCTGAGACAAAAACTGAACACTGAAATGTCATCAGTGAAACAAGAAGGTAGTATATCTGCTCAAAAAACGAGACCAGATGGTGGTTTGTTTGGTTTTTTTTTACCACTTTCAGCCCTCATTGCTGTTGTGAAATCCTTTGACTGATCATCAAATGTCTGACAGATTGTTGTGTTTGTACTGCCGACTGACTGAAGCTGTGCTGTGTTGTCTCTAGTTTCAGAGCTCTCTATACCGGTCCCATGGGGAGAGATCAGAGGCAAAGCCTGGGGTCCTGAACACGGCCACCCGGTGCTGTGCCTGCATGGCTGGGCAGATAACTGCGGTTCATTCAACACGCTCATTCCCTTCTTACCTAAAGGTAATTCACCACAGACAGGACAAGGGTGAGAAAAACTGTCACCTGTGGGCTGTTGTAGCCGTGGGTAAGTGGCTGTCAGGCCTGTGTGAATCATTATCTTTTGTGCCTTATTGCCCCGTACTCTGTACTCCCAGCACACCAAGGCTAGAGTGCAACCATCCAGTGTGAGCTCAAGAGTAACATCACAACAGTAATCCTGACCACGGACATTATATAAACAATCAAGTGGCAATCATTAGTTTATTAATTAAATACCTCTAGCGGAGGGGGGTCTAAACTATCCACCAGTGGTTTATATCTGCTGCTAAATCATAATAACTTTGGTTTTGTAGGCTTGTGGTCATAAACCACAAACATTATTAAATGATAACGGTCACAATGCCGGGAAAAGGTCAGGAGATGTTAAGCCACGTTATTTAAAACCACAAGTGAAAATCCAAAAGCAGAACATCAGTCAAAATACTGCCAGGAAGGACCGTCAAACTCACTTTACATCAGGAGCTACATAGAGCTTGCCTTATCCTAACTGTCCCAAACCAGTGAAACTCCCCTTTTTGTCAGTGTGAAGATGTTTAACTACACATTTAATGCCATTAGATATAAGAAAAAAGAAGTGCAGTTACAGTAATACACGTCGGTTTTTCTATATGATTAAAAAAATGCAGTAATGTGTGAAAATGTGTACAGAAATAACAGAAAATGCTCTGGTAGCTCACTCTAAACACTCTCCTGTAGCTACAATTGCGTTAATTCGTATTTCATGACTTGCATGGCTTTTTTTATTGGACTGGCATGTTTAATATTCAGCTAAAACAAAACCCAATCCAAACGCTTGTCAGGTTTAGGGTTAAGAAGTTAATAGCCATTATCGAGCTGCTTTAGTCTGAACCAAACAGGCAGATGAACACGGCTGTGACCGTCTCCACTCCAGATGTTTTTTAAGATTAAGTTTATTTTATTGCTTTTTATTTATGCGTTATTTTATTTTATAAAAATGTTTTCCATTTGTTAAATATTTACAAATTTCATTGTGATATTTTTATGTTTTTATTTTCAATTTCATTTATTTCATTTTATTTTGTTATTTTTTAATATTGACTTAATATTTATTAATTTATTTAAATTATTAATATTAATATTATTTAAATTAACTATTTAATTGGTGAATTAATATTATTAATATTTAAACATTTTAAATATTATTGATGCTGCCGGTCTGTTGTGGTGAAGAGAGAGCTGAGTGTAAAAGCGAAATTCTCATTTTACCGGTCGATCTACGTCCCCTCTCTCGTCTATGGTCACGAGCTGCAGGTAGTGACCAAAAGAATGAGATCACAGATACAAGCAGTAGAAATGAGCTTTCTCCAAAGGGTGGCTGGCCTCTCCCTTAGAGACAGGTCAAGCAATTCAGCCATCCAGGAGGAGGGGCTCAGAGTAGAGCCGCTGCTCCTCCACATCAAAAGGAGCCAGTTGAAGGTGTTTGGGCAGATGACAAGGATGCCTCCTGGGCACCCTGCTGGTTGAGGTGTTCCGGGCATGTCCCACTGGGAGGAGGGCCCGGTGCAGACCCAGGACACGTTGATCTCTCAGGTGGCCTGGGAACACCTTGGCCTTCCCCCAGACAAGCTGGGAGGTCCGAGCTTCTCTGCTTAGGCTGCTGCCCCCGTGATCCAGCCCAAGATAAGCATTCTGTCTCTCTCTCTCTGCTCCTGCTTAGAGTGCAGATATGTGGCAGTGGACATGCCAGGACACGGTCTGTCATCTCACCGGCCTCCTGGAGTCTTCTATTCATTTCCTGCGTATGCAGCAGACGTACGCAGAGTTGCTGAAAGTGAGTGGGACCTGTTCGTCTCTCAGTAGCCGGGCTGCACTTCCAATCTCTTGGTTACAACAGCCGAGCTAGATTTGATCAGATGAGTTGTCTGTGTCATACCCCTGCAGGTCTCAGCTGGACAAAGTTCTCCATCATGGGTCACAGCATGGGTGAGTCACAGGCATGAACACTGACACTGTGCTGTGTTTTTTGCATTTAATCTTCTGGAAAGTGTGAATTTAAAAGAAGAACTTTTATAGGAACACAGTGGCTATCTAAACTAAGGTCTAACTGATTAAACGTGCTGCTGTGCTGCGTGTGGATCCACCAATCAAAGCGATGCTGCAACAATTAGTGATTTAATCAACGCATCAAGGGAACAGAGAACTCCAAATCTTCTGGCAATTGCCTAAATGGTAAAACGTGTTCTGGTTGGTGCTTCAAAGTAAACCTAAACAAGTTGTTCATGCCGAGCATATTTTTTGTTATTTTTATGCATAATAGTGACAGTGCTCACATAAACTAGTGTATCCTTTCCTACGGTCCATCACTGCATATCCTAATCTCCCAGACATGCACATAGACATCGAAACAATAGAAAGAAGTATAATGAAATGATACTTTAAACATTTATAAATTACTTTATCAATACTGTTTCCAATAAACAAAACGTTTGGAAATTAAATAATTTGAACAATTTGCATATTTCTGCAAATATCTAATCAGCCAATCACATGGCAGCGATTCAGAACATTTAGGCACATAGACATGGTCAAGCCAATCTGCTAAAGTTCAAACTGACCATCAGAATGGATAAGAAAGCTGATTTAAGTAAACACTAAAAGCCAAATGGGCTGATCTATTTCAGAAACTGCTGTTCTGTTTGCAATTTCCCACACAGCCATCCTGGTACTAGAAAGGCGCCAAATAAAGTGGCTGGTGAGGGTTGAGTAAAATTGATGCTGTAAAGTTTTTACTGGAATTCCTGGGGAAAGAAAAAAATCTAGCTGCTGCAGTGCTCAGCTAATGGGAATCCTAATGAACTGAATCACTGTTGCTTTTTTTCTGTCATTTTAAAGAAAGTAAACAAAGAAAACAATACTTGTTTTCAGCCAGAATTTGTTTTAAAGTCAAGGTGTCACAAAAATGATCGTGTTAATTTGACGATGTGCTCACTCCCTTACAGGTGGCAACATCACCGTCATGGTAAATTAAACACATCGCGTTCATCTAATCGCTGCTTTTATGAAATATGTGTCATAAACTGCATTTTCAAAGTGATCACAGCAGGGACTTCACTGTGTTTCCTACAGTTCAGCGCATTGTATCCTGAGATGGTGGATGGCATCATAGTGCTGGACGTTTTTGGATTTGTACCTACAGATCCGGTACTTCAGCACTACTTCTCGTCACTGCTGGGGAAAAAACAACAACAATCTAATAGTTGGAAAGATGCAGAACTACTTTATTAAATTATCTTTATGAGCCACTCCTGTCTGTGTTTGTGTTTCTCACCTCTCATTTTATCGCAGAAAGAAATTCCCCGAATCATGAGGCAGGGGATGGAGGAGATGCTCAAGTTTGAAAAAAAGGCAGAAGAGAAGAAGAGGGTTTACACGTACGAGAAGGCAGTGGAGAGGTATCGCTTTATTTTATAGCCATTTCAAGTGGAGTAAGCCTTTTGTTTATGTGTTTGTGCAGAAGTGAAGTGAAGCTCTGCTGCTTTCTTCATGCATCTGAACTGCTGGCAATCACTGTGGGTAATTTTGGCATCAGGTTTTGACAGAGTGAACTGCATTTTGTTGTTAGTTTGTTTTCTTAAAAAAGGGGGGAGCACCTCTTGTTCTGCCACATCAATTTGTTTTATTTCAAATAGCAGAAGTCCTCGCTGTGTGGAATAAAAATAAACTGCAGAGAGGGATGAAACAGAAGAAAGTAAAACCGAGTCGCAGTTTTGACTAAATTGTTTTGTTTCCTTCAGGCTGTTGGCTGCAAACCCGACTCTGTCTGAACGGTCTATTCAAACGCTTTTAGAGCGAGGCCTGACTCAAGTTGAAGGAGGTATGTCTTTATCGCTTCTCCTCCTGTCAGCGAGGAATAATCTCACTTTGCTTTCTCTCATTTGCTGGCAGCTGAATGTGTTTCTCCTCATCAGGATTTGTGTTCTCCAGAGACCTCCGAGTTAATTTTGTGAGTCACTTTTAACCTCCCCAAAACTTCACCACATCCCACTTTGTGTCTCCTCCAACAGAGGTTTGGCATTCAGTTCACATACATTTGCTGTGTTTTATGCAGAAAAACATAGAGCGGATCACTTTGGAGCAGAGCCTGGAGATGCAGTCGCTGATTCAAGCTCCTGTTTTACTTATCCTGTAAGATTTTTACCACTAATCTGATATTACAGTATACTTTATTTTACAGCGTGGACATGTCTCTGTTTGCGGTTTAAATGATTTCTGCCCTTTTAAAATAAAGCATGTCAAAAAAAAAAACATGTAACACCAATCTGTGTTTTTCTAGAGCTGACAAAGGTTTCAGTCCAGCATCTAGAGAATCGAGCCAGAAACTCACTTCGAAACTCCTCCAAGTCTATCAGGAAAGAAATGTGAGTTTAATTTTATGTTAGAGTAAATCACTCTCTACTAACATCTGTATGATTTTAAAAAAAAAAACCTACAATAACACAGAGAAACGACCAAACCTCAACAATCAGGTGAGTCCCTATGAGCAAAGACTCAGCAACAGTGGGAAGGAGAAACTCCCTCTTAACAGGAAGAAACCTTCAGCCAGAACCAGGCTCAGGGAGGGGCGGCCATCTGTCGCAACTGTTTGTGGGTGAGGGGAGGAGACAGGACACACTTACTGCCTGATGCATCATCAGTTATTGAATTTTCTGTGCAGCCAAATTAGATCAAATATTTAAAAAGTTTTTATGTAGCACTTTTTTCAAAATCCACTTTATGAAGTGTTTCATGTGAATAGTGCCAAAAGAAAATGCTGATTACCAGTAAACTTTAGTAAAATTAGAAAATAACACCAAAAGTCAGGAAAGGCTTTCCCATGAAAGTTTGTTTTAACCTCCTCAGATCTGAGCTATTGCTGAGCATCCACTTTTAATTTCTCCCATGAGTCAGACTGACGAGTGTAAAAGCAGCACATGTTGAACAAAAAGTCATCCTCATTGTCCTCATATGGAAGCAATTATTTAGTTATGCTGTAAAATAAACTAAAGCCACCATATTTGATCAAGTATAAATCATTTTACTGAGGAAAACGAAGCATAAAGTGCAGAAAAGCCAAACTTTAATGTCCCTGTATGAGGATTCAGGGTCTCGGGAAGTTAAAGGAAGTGATGGATGCCAACCTGATTTCCTCAGGCACATTGTTGAAGAGGCTAACTGCAAAAGAAAGAAACAAAAAAAGCAACATTTTACAACTTCAACCTAAAGCGCTCCATCTATGCAAGATAGCATGGGTTCTGTGTAGGAGTAAAGTCAGTTTCAGTCCACTTCTGTCAGGCCATGAGGATCTGTACTGATGTATACATTAGTAAGACAGTGTTGCTGTGTGGAGTTTTCCTCTTCTCCTTGTGTCCCTGTGGGTTCGGTCCAGCTACTTCAGCTTCCTCCCACAGTCCAAGGACGTGCAGTTAGTAGGATTAGATTAACTGGTTGTTTCTAAATTGCCCATAGGTGCAAAGGTTGTCTGTGTGTTAGACCTATGGCAGATCGATGATCTATGCAAGATCTACTATGCCTCTTGCCCTGTGGCAGCTGGGATAGACTCCAGCTCCTCCACGACCTCAATTGGTAAAGCAGAAGAAACTGGATGGATGGTTAAGACCCAATTTTTATGTTGCATTTGTGAAATTGGAGAACTTAGAAGATGAAAACTGTATTTTTCTCACTAAGGAAAAAGAACAACTGTGAAGTGGAAGTAAAAAAAAAAAAAAAATCTGTTTAGGTTTGAGCAAATAAATCAAAGTAAAAGAAGCCTAGTTTGGTGATAAATAAAACATTTATAAGCCTAATGGCTTTACAAGTGGTTAAAAAAAAAAAAGGTACGCGCACACAGTCAAATATGCCCACGCACTGTAAAATGTGACTTTGATTTCTCTTATTAGGATAAGAGATTCATGTTTATGCCTCCATACTAATCACCACTACTGAGATTCAGCAAAATTAAGAGGGCACTATTCACATGAATCTAGTTTTTTTTTGTTTGTTTTTTATCAGAGCCACAGGAAGCCACCGGGGACGGGCAGAAGAACTGCATGTGGCTCCTGAGCTGCTGGACCAAGACGTCCGAGCTCAAAGCAAGACCGCAAAGGACCTTAAAATAAAATAACATCCTGAAACATCAAAATACTTAAAAACATGGAGGCAGTATTTATTTCAGATGCAAACAACAAAATGTCAGGGTGCAACTAATGATCCTTGTGTCATATTTACAAATGTTTTTCTTGGTTTTATTGCTATATTAGAAAAAATAAGAAACTGACTGTAACTGATATGAAGCACTGGGTCCTGCAGACAAACGGTTCGATTAAAAATGACAGCAGGCTGATCTGTATGAGAAACAATCATTTTCTGCTTTCAAAGAGCAGATGCTCTATCGCTGTGTAATTGGAATCCAGCTAATTGGATGGCATATCAGCTAATAGTAAGTAACCCGATTAATATTCATTAAATGATTATTTATGAGGCGTTAACTAGCCACATAAAGCCAATTGATTATTTCTTAACAGGATCCGTGACGCACTCTGCATATTAATTCATGCATTACGTCGCGTTAGTTAGAAATGTTTTACAACTTTATTAAAAAAGTGTACACCTGAAATCCCAAAACAGAGAATCTGCAGCAGTCAGATGCCTCCAATCACAGCTGAATCCATATTATAGTTTTAAAATAAAACGTGCAGGATTCATAAAGATCTGCTAATAAAAACACAGAAGGGTCCTATTAAACAAATACAAATGACAGCGTGTAAAATCTGCACACTTTTTATTGTACTTAACTAAAACTGGATAAAAAAAAAAAACACTTAGTTCACTATTATAACCTTGGTCAGCAGCCATCTTCAAATGTAATTGCGGACTTGGAGTCGAGCAAAAAGGAAAGATTTTAATAGCTTGAAGAAATAAACCTGTTTTATGTGACTTTATTATTATCTCACATCATTATTTTGGTCCACTCTTCTTCACAATGTTCATCAGCATACATTTGTTTATGCTGAGCTCTCTGAAGTGTGTGGTTTGGACTTTGACAGGAGCATTGCTACACCTTGACTTTTTTTCTTTTTTAGTCATTCTGCTGTGCTTGGGATCATTGTCCTATTGCATAATTCAATCTGTCCCAAGCTGAGCTACTGGTCTCACATTTGACTCTAGAATACTTTGGCATGCGAGATTTCAAGGCTCACTCAATGGCAGGTGCTGTTGCTGCAAAACAAGCCCAATAATCAGCCCTCCATCACTGTGCTTGACAGCTTGTATGTGCTGAATGTGACACTTTGCATTGTGGCCACACATCTCCACTTTGGTGGAGACTTCTGTTGCCAAACACTCCATATTTGATCAGTCTTTCTTTAAATGTATTGTCATGAATGTTCACCGTAACATGCTAACTGAGCCCTGTACCTGTAGCTCTGGGGTTTTCCAGTTTCTCTGAGAATTGCATGGTATGATCTTTGAAAGTGAATTTTCTGGGGCAGCCACTCCTTGGAAGATTGTGGGATTGTGTTAACACACAATGTTCCCGACCAGCAAACTGCCAAATGCTGTGCTTTCAAAGAGGAGATCAAACTTGCCGGTTGATCAACTGCATTTGATTATTGGTACCTGGCTGCATCGTATTCTCTTAATTCCTGTGGAAGCTGTAAGGGTGTGGCATTTTACCGACCTGCACAGAGTTCGGTGAAAACTTTCTTTTTCACAGTTCAACACTCTTCTCTTTTACTACTAAATCCTCTTACCCTGTTTGTCTGTCTGTCTCTCTCAGGACACTGTGGTGAGAGTACCTGGCAGTCATCATGTGCATCTTGATAATCCTGAAGTCGTCGCTCCATTTATTTGTGACTTCCTGCAGACCAAAGTGCTCTCACAGCAGGTGAAAGCCTAGTGGACAAGATGTAACCATCACACACTCACATTCTCCATGTGAAGTTTCACACTTCAAAAGTCTCAGTGCACTGTTTTCGTCTCTCTTAGAGCTCACATTACCATAAAATTGTTCCAGTAATTTGTTCTGCTCTGTACAAACCCAACTGTAGAGTCATTTGGAATAATAATACTGAATAAAAAAATTAAAAAAAACATGATTTATGAAACTAGACTTTTTCAATCTTTTGCAGTTTTTGTAGAAATGGTGTATCTAGCTCATTAGTTATATAAAGGACCAGGACAGAAGTGTTTCTCTTTATGTCGCTGTAAAGAAGCACTCCTGAAATGTTTCCATGTATTAATCCATCCATTTACAAGAAAATAACAGCAATTTCAGCAAAATATATCAGTTTTCTCTCATTCAGCCCGTCAAGTGTCATTACAAAGAAAAGATGCGGCTAGGCTCTTTGGCTTAACCACCTCAACTTTGGAGTGGTACTGCAGCCTGTGACTAATGCCATTGTCTGCAAGAAGGCTCTAAATCTGATGGTGATTCAGACCTAACCCTCTCATGATGTGACCCATTATTCCTGCAACATAACTCTTCCTGGTGCAGTAAAAAATCCAAAGAGGATGCCCCCCTCCTCTGTGATTGTCGCACTTTGCAAAGCCATGCAGTGGCTAGGCTGGACTGGATCCTAAAATGAGCCAGTCCAGGTGACACCAACGCTTTGTAAAGTCATTTAACACCTCCTCACGTCAACCTTTTTTTGATTGTGATTAGTTGTTGTCATATAAAGGCATCTTCTGATTTAATTTTCTGTTTCATGTAAATACTTCGGCAGTAGTTTGTTCTGTTGTCGTATTGCTTCTGTCAGGCGCTGAATGCCATCTACATCTCGATGAGCATCAGCCAACTGTGAAAACATGGGGCCGGGAACAAAAAGCCATTTAGACGTTTTAACATATTGCCATGCATTGTGGTTTTGTGGCAGTCTGCTTGAGTTTTCAGTGCAGTCGCATGTGTGTAAAAAGCCCCGAACTGAATAAAATTCCTCTGCGTGTAACTTATGCAGCGAGGAAGTCACAGTTCATCGCTTCTGTTTATGTGAGGCTGATCTGTTTAACTGCTGCTTTTCATGAATCTGGTGGCGGCGCTGAGTGATGCTAAAAATGGCAGTCATTAAAAAAGATGACATCCTCTGACAACTGGATATGTAGGCCACCCTCTGCTCAGATTTTTTGACTTTAAAAAAATAAATAAAAAAATAAATAAAATCTGACTGTCTTAAACACTTCAGCTGCTGTCAGTCAGAGCAGATATGAAAGGAGTCCCTCACACAGAGATGGCTCCCTCTCTCTCAATGTCACATAAACTGTGTGATGGCCTTGGTGTTAAATGGAGTGGAATTGATTTTACGCAGCGCGTAGCAAGGCAGCGAGCATCCACAGACATCTGAAGGGCTTGTCCCCCTCCACCAGCAAAACCCCCACACCTACCCACCCTCCTCAAAAATGATTATAGTTATATAAGTTTCCCTCCCACTCCCGCCGTCGTCATGGCAACCCCCACCCCTCCTTTTTGAACGTCAGAGCCGGGAGCTGGAGGATGAAGCCGCATCCAGCTTCAGCATCTCGTGCCTCTCAGAGAGCACCTGTGATTATTTTGCAGAGGAGGAGCAGCTGCTGCAGCGACGGCGATCATCTAATGAGAGGTTCGGACTCTGGGCTGCTCTTCGTCGCTTAAAAAATCGCCACCGATCGAGCAGCGTCTGCAGGTAAAAGCGTGGTGCCTCTATTTACTCCCGTGCGCTATTTTTAGAAAAAAAAAAACACCTGTGCCAGCTAATGATTGTGAAACTGAGAGGAGTAATGATGGAAAGCCCCGCTGCCTGTTTAGCTGCTGTAGTGTCTTTTTTTCTGTCATGAGAAGGGAGCGGGAAAGCTTTCTCGGAGATGCAGTTAGCGGTGCGTATTTGGAAGGTTTAAACAACTCTGCTCATCCACCCTTCCCCACGATCTCGTCTCTTTTGCTTCTCTCCCTGTCCTCTCCTCCTCACCCTCACCCTCCTTCTCCCTCACCCTTCCCATTCTTTTTTGCCCTGACAGCCGGTATGTCGTGGTTATTCTTGGACTGGTTCGTCCCACTCTACTTGCTGGTGTCGGTGTTGGTGCTGGCAGGCTTCGGAGCGTGCCTGTACTTCCTAGAGCCCGGGTTGCAGGATGCCCACAAGTGGAGCAACAAAACAGTCCGGCATCACCCGCTGGTGGCCAGTGTGAACTGCAGAGATGACGATAGCAATGCCCTGATATGATCAAGAGGGCGAGGCGAAGCGGGAGGGCGGCTGACCATCTGGACAGGGGTGCTGCCGCCGGGACACCCGTGGGATGGGAGCCAACACCCAAACGACCGTGGAAGAAAAATGGGAGAGAAAGGACGAGAAAGGAGGGGAAGATTATCTGTTGTCTGATAATGCAAACCCTGTTCTATATCATTCCAACTTTTCTCTGATCTCTGCTGATTTTCGTTGTAGAGGTGAGAGAAAAGTAAAGCAGAGGTGTTTTTAACGTTCTTAAAAATAAAAATAAAAAAAGAAGAAGAAAAATAAAAATAAAAAAAAGCCAGATGCACAATGCGAAGAAGACTGTATCCAGAAAGAGATCGTGAGGTGATTGGAGGAAGTGTTGCCCTTTAGAAATGTGTTTGTAAATTTCACGCCATCCTATACTTGTGCCAAGTTTTACATGCATTTTGTAATTTTGACAATCACTTTGCATATCTCATAAAGTTTACTTACATTGTGCATTTAATTAGCTGAAGTGAGCGACATAAGTGCAATGACTTTCCTGCCAGCGGGGAGGGTTTTTAATCCTCTCTCTGAAGTCGGCGTGGCAGCTGCTCAGACGCATGTGGATTGTTTAGTGCCGCTGTGCCAAAACGGTGTGTTATTCGTGACTTACTTTAAACTGTTATGTACCCAATAAATGCAACTGATTCATTTAAGGTGCCAAGATTATCATAGATGGACCAAGACGACTGACAAATAGCCTAGTATTTGGTAAAGTGTTTTTTTTTTCTTTGCTTTGTTTGTTTTCATTGTTTTTACTTGACAGCATGGTGAGAAACTGTGGGTGTGTAACGACCCTCTTTTAAGAATCATATGCTTCCTTTGTTCATACAAAAATAAAACTGCTCAGTCCTCACTTCTTTGTATTTGCTGTTGCATGAATATCCACCCTAAATATATAGTCTAAAGAGTTATGTGCTTCTAAATAATTCATGTGTGTGTATGTATATATATATTCAAACTATATATATATATATATATATATATATTGTAATATTTTAACTAGCTTGTACTCTAGCAGCTGGGTTTGCTTAATATTTCCCATTAAGGATTTACATTAAGCTTACATTAAAGTAGTCACTTGATATCCTTTTATCTATAAACTGTCAGCAGTTCCATCAAAATTTCTCAAACTGTTTTAAGTTACCTGACTTTTTAAGCCCTGACAAGATAAAATATGGACAAAAGCAAAGGGCTTTGGATTTTCTGCCCTCCTTAGAAATCTCAACCTGGCTCTTTTGTAGGTTGAACCCTTGGTTTGGAAAGCCTTTCAAGTCAAATAATATGACAGCCCAGAGCAGTAAAATACTCTTTATGCTTTGATTCAGCAATATTAAAACTATGATATCATCTGCGCTTCAGTCAAAGCTTGAAATGCATGTTTTCTGTATTTTTGCATGTAAATTTGAATGCAGGACTTTCATTTACAGTGCAGTCTTTTTATATATACCTTCAGCTTTTTTTAAAAAAAAAAACCGCTTACAATACTGCACCTACACTTTTGAAAAGCCCTTTAAACTCTGCTCAGAGTAGATGCTTCGAGTTTGAAGTTCACTCACTCATGGAGTGCGTAGAGTCTGTAATGAAGAGGCTTTTTCATTTAAGGCAGTTCGAGGATAAAACTAGCTCTGCAACAGAAATCATGCGTAGATATTCATATTTTCTCTTGTAATGCAGAAAAAAACAAACTCTGACAGTGTAGTTGTCAGCAGAGTCAGAGGAGGAGCATTCACATTATTATGAAATGCATTTGTAGGTGTGGGGTTGTTTGTCTGTAGTACCTTGTTACTATTCTGCCCAGACTCTGCAGCTGAGGACGATGTAGTAGCTTAATCTGGTTTGAAGTATACGATGCATCATTTCACCTGTGACATTAATGTTTTCGTGACTAGGCTCTATAAAAGCATCAAACATAAGTTAATGATCTGAGTGCTTCTGTCACTCATATTTTGCACTATAATCAGACAAGCTTCACAGTGTCCCACGAACCAAATCAAATGAGACACCAGTGTGGGAGTGCAACAGTGAAGCCTCAGTGTCGAGGTATGGAGAGAATGGCACTTGTGTGCCCACTACTTCCTACTGCTCTGCTCCAAGTCTCACACACTGTGCCTTGTTTACTCTCTCAGTCTGTCAGCAGCAGACACGGGGCATCATCGCCACACATCAGGTCAGTGTCTTTTTCTGCAGCTCTAACTAAAGAACAAAAAACTGTTGTTTTTTTCATAGTAAACACTGTTTTGTGCTGGTATTTTCAGTGTTGGCGCATACCAGCCATGCTGCCTCAGACTGCAGTGTTTAAAAGTAATTTAATGCACTCATAAAAGTGCTCCACTTTTACATAACTTGAGTGCTACGATTTTATGCAATTATGTGGTACTTAAGCCCTACTACATATTTTCTGTACAGACATAAGTGCTTATTTAATATTTCAATATATATATAAAAAAACATAGTCAGTTGATAAAATGTGGTGTATTGGCTTAGACTTCCTAGACGTGTTTTTATTTTTAAACAGATTAACACTGGATTCGCTTCACCTGCACTTATCGATGACATTAAACCATTAAAGTAAATAAATCTAACACTCCTTTGGAACTACAGTAAGATTTCCAAACTTTTGATATAAGTGTAGTTTGCAGATATTTCTGTTCTTTATCTTACCCCTTTATTATTTATTAAAAGTTTGTCCTGTTTGTCATTTGCAGTCTCTCTATGTTTCTCTTTCCTCGCTTCTACTTAAGTTGAGTTCTTCCTCCCCGCTGTTGCCGTGTTTCTCTCTACATTGATTATCTGATTTTTGGGTCCTACCTCTAACACTGTATGGTTTAATATTGTGAAGTGCTGCTTGTTAAGTAAAATTCAATAGGAAAAAATCAAATTGAAACTTGCACTTCAGTTAATTTGAGTATTTTTTTAAGAATGTTATTCCCACATTTTCTATTAATTTGGACAGTTTTTATAGAAATGATGTTTGGCATAAAGTTGAATTCTATTCTATTCTATTCTATTCTATTCTATTCATATAAAACAAGTTATATTTTTTCTTAATTTCTTCATTCTCATCATGTGATTAGTCTTTCTTTGCATCTTTGTCTTGCTAAAACAGAATGAGTGTTTTTAACCGTCTGGCACCTTTGATCCCACGAGTGCCTGACTCCAGCAGACAAACAAAGGAGCATCCAAAAGTGTGTTTGTCACCTCCTCTGCCTCTTTCTTCTCCCGTCATTAAGAAGAAAGCCATTCACATCCCATCATTTGATGAGAAGGGACTTATCTTTGAAAAACACAACACAAAGCTGTACACGGCGGACAGGTAAATTAATGTGAGGTTTGTTTTTCTGTCTTGGATTTTTTGTGCTACATAATCTAGTAATTATTGGTACATTTTTTTCTTTCCAGATCATTTGATTCAATTTGGACATCCAAGACACCAAGCCCGCCCTCGAGGAGTAAATCATGTCAGCTTTCACAGAGAAACCATGGAGAAAGAGCTTCAACCCTCCCAAGGACCAAACCTCAAACATGCAGCTCTCAGTCTCTCTCTGCAAAACCCAGCACCTCCATTTCTCCTTCTCCTAAGCCAAATTCCTCTCTCACTCTTCCCACTGTCAAACCAAAGCCAAGTGATTCTCTTCATCTTCCCGCCTCACAGGCGAGTGATCTTTCTCCATTACTGCACCAGCCAGCACCAAAGCCAAGTGTATCTCCAACTCTGACAGTCCCAACACCCAGGCTAAGCCCATCTCCAACATCCCTTTGCCAAGGGACGAGCTCAGACGGTCCACCAGTAAAACAGCCTTCTCCTATTGCAAAAGAAAGACATGCTAAATCGATTCCCATCTGTAATGTCAAAGCGGAGACATCAAATGAGATAAAGCATGAAATTCTTGACCAGGATGCTTTACTGGACTTTACTCACCCTGAGATGAGAAAAGGTCGTATGAACAGAGATTCTCAACATCAGACTTACTCAGAATCCTACAGACGCCCGGTCACATCTTCAAATCCTTGCTTTCTGCAAAGCAAACTTGGACTAAGTAAAAAAGACAATACTGCCAAAGATGAAGCAAAGGCTCTGCAAAGGAGTACAGACATTACTGCATTACCTAAACCAAAGTGGAACATCAATCAGCACCAGGAACTTCAACCCAGTAGAATGACAGGTACACAAATATCCACTAACTCTAAAGGCATTAAGTCTGCTAACGTTGATCACTGGGAGTCTCCGTCAGTGTTTGATGGACCGGCCACTCTGTCAGGTCCTCAAAGAAAATATAAAAACTACCCTCAGAAGAGCAATTACTCTCAGACCTTACATTTTACCTCAGCTCACCCACCATATGAGCAACTGTATTCTGAGAAAAAAGCAGCTTTACCCGTGACTCCTCAAACATCCTTTTCCACTGAGCCTCTTTTTAATCAGTCAGGCGTTTCGCCAAGCATCGAGGCAAGGAGGAGACGGTTCGACCTGCACAGTGAAACAAGACCAGAAGCAGCATTGCTATCAGCTTCTCGTCCCAGGAAACAGCAGGAAGAAAACAATAATCAGACAATTACAGGAAACTCTCATAAAATCTTTCATGAAACTGGTGCATCTCAAAACATCAAGTCCCCACAGAGACCCCTCAGGTTCCCGTCAAAGGCACAGAGTCAAACTGTGGATGTAAGGTGTGCAGTGAGTCAGTCTCACTGTTTATCAAAGGATTACAGCTGCCAGTCAAGAGAAGCTGATCAGAAAATGGAGGCTTCCCAGTGCACACACAGGTTAAATCAGCTTAAGACATGTCAGGTGGCACCTCAGACCCAGGAGGCCTCCCACCCTCCCTCTGGTGTGTGCACCACCTCACAAAGGGGATCCTTTTTGAAACCTGACCTTCAGTCACACAGATGTGGCTTAGATCAGGAACAGTCTCCTCCTGACAAACAGATGAAGGTCAGCAGCACAGGACTGAATCAAACAGACATGTTAGCACCACCTGACCACCGTGGGGTGCCAGCAAAGCTACCAGAACATCCCTCAGAGAAATATGTTGCAAGCTGGCCCCCGTCTGTAGCGCACTGCCCATTCAGCACAGACAGTTTTGGCCTAAGCTCAAAGGGGGTCTTTGACAGAGTATACCAGAGCCTGGAAAAGACAACAACAGCAACAACAGCTTCCAGTCTACTAAATCAGCTGAATGACTCTGAAACAGGCAAAGTATTTTTCTCAGAGGAATCAGAAGACCCCTATTACGTCACGATGTATTACCCAGGCTCAATTTATGTGGGTGAGTACAAATATATCCAAGTCACCTGCAAGATTTTAACAGAACAAACCCAGCGACAGCACCTCTTTGATGCCCCTGCTTTTATTTGGAGTGGGAGTTGAATAATTTTCTAACTTCTAGGGGGGGTGGGAACTCTGATGAGGGGGTGGTTAAAGAGGATAGCAGAGGGACTAAAGGCAGCGCTTCTTATCAGTAGAGTAACAGACGTGGCGAGGAGAGATGTGACAAAGTTGGTTAGCAGACTGTTTCAAAGTGAATAGCACAGGAAGACGTGCCAAAGCAGTTTTACACTAAAACACGCCGAAAACATGCAGAAAGGAAGGCGGGACGAAAGGAGAGCAGCTCGGAGATAAAGTGTGAGTACGGTGCTGCAGCTGTATTTTTCTTCCTCTAACACCTAAAGAGTAATAACAACACAATATCACACAAACACTGGGAAGTACAGACTAACAGATGTGTCAAACTTAAATCATGTCGTAACATAGCAGGGTAGAGATTAAAAAACAAAGCACACATAGTACCTCAGCACTGCCTGGATGTTGTATGCCTATGAGTTAAAATGAGAGCTTTTGAGGCCCAACAAGGGGAAAACTACCGGACGTATTTGACAGAGCAAAGAAAATTTAAACTAACAGCTTCATCTGGAGTCTTCATTAGTAGATTTCTTGCAGTTAGATCTGTTAATATATTTTCTGTCTTACAAGACCCTCAGATTCAGGGTCTCTCGTGGGATTCCACCGCTCAGAAAGCCCCGTTACACTCGCTGTTAATCATTACACACTGAGCTTCCACCGGTGGCAGGATACATCAGAGCACATTTGCATTAAATTTGAAGTGCTTTAGTTCACGGCATGTCACAGCTGATAGTGTGTCTCTTCACAGAAAAGGAAGCGCGGCACATACAGACAACGTCTACATATTCAGCCATCATTAGTTTAATTATTCAGCACTGTAGTTTTCCTGCTGTGACAAAATGTATTTGGGGGAAAACTTCTCTATACTGCACTTCTTTCTACATTTTAAACAGTGCATTTAGCAGACATGCAGTTGTTACTTTGCAGATAAGACTTCAAACTTTAGGAGCCTGTTTATGTACCAGTGCAAAGCCATTAAAGCTATAAGCTCTTTCTGCTTGAACGATAATGCAGCAGTAATAATGTCCCACATAGCAGTAATGTTTTTGTTAAGCTTTGCATCTACATTAACACGTACACACTGTTTAGGGTCAAATTTGACTCATTTTGATAGTTGACCGCAGCAAAAAAAATCAAAAAAATCCAATATCATTCTTTTAGCTTGAAATTTGATGACTTTTCCTAAAGTGACCCAAAAATGAGTATCGTAAAGACTATATAGAAAAACAGAGAGCAGAATTCATGGTTGCATTAATTACTGCAAGTTGTCCAGGTTGTGAAGCAGCAACGCAGACCCAGAACATCACACTATCACCACCATGTTTGACTGTTGGCATGTTGTTGGAACTCAGACCTTCCAAAAGACCACAGTCCACAGAATATTTTGCCAAAAGTCTTGGGGATCATCAAGATGTTTGGGTGTTTGTTTGTTTTTTAATAAATGTCAAACGAGCCTGTGCGACCTTTTTCTCCTTGGAACTCTCCCATGGATACATATATTTCCCCAGTCCCTTATTGTTGAAGCGCGAACACTGACCTAAACTGTCTCAGTTTAGGTCACCAATTGAGTCACCAATGCACTCTTGGAGTAATTTTGGTTGGTCAGTTACTCCTGGGAAGGTTCCAAGTTTTCTCCTTTTGTGGATAATGGCTCTCACCATCATTTGCTGGAATCCCAAAGCCCTAGAAATGGCTCTGTAACCATTTCCAGACCGATAGATGTCAATGACTTTGTTTCAAATCTGTTTCTGTAGACTGTCGCATTGCGTGTTTCTTTTTGAGATCTTTTAGCCTACATCACTTTGTCAGGCAGGTTCTGTTTAAGTGATTTCTCAATTCAGCAGGTCTGGCAGTAATCAGGCCACAGAATTAAAAACAGATAATTCACGATTTAAGAGGCAAGTGTGACAAATGTTGCACATATGAAAAAAAAAAAGAGAGAGAGAGAAAAAATAAATCAGGAATTGGGCAAGTACTTTTTCACAACATTATTAGTAAAGGATCCATCTTCTTTATCCACCAACACTGTTAAAGATCATCTCCCATGTCTGGACTTGACACTGATTATAACACAATTCAAATTGCTCGCTATAAATACTCTAGCTCTGACAGAAGACACTGTACCCAAAAAAAAAAAAATGTCCCTTTGAGATAAAGTCATATTGCGCATGTGCGCTGCATCTCCCCACTCCCTGTCCTCTTGTCGCCTTGGTAACGGAAAAGGAGGGGGCTCACGGCCAGAGGGAAGGAGAGGTACCCGGACTCCTCTTTACATGAGCGTTCCTGTTATTGTTATCAGTGTGGTGGATAGATATTACTGCTTCTCGAATTCAGAGCGCCTGTAGGTCGCCCGCTGTCTCCACGAGCTCGTTTGGTCAGTTGAACGGGAGCTGGTGAGTGTGACGACCGTTAGCGGGTGCACGCTAGCAGCTAGCCGTTAACGTTATTATCCAGCGTGACTGGTGAGAGAAACAATGAGGGCGACAGGCTTTGGTAGAGCTAACGTTGGGTAGTCACTTAAAACACGCAGAAAAGGACGCTTTTATTCATGTTATATGCTAAAGCACGTTTGCTCTTAACTTTCATGAGCTTGGCCATTTTATTATTTTTTCAAACAGGGATTTAAAAAAAGGGAGTTTTAGCCTTCATGTAGCCAGAGCATCCTCAGATATCGTACGCTTCAGTTTCCTACATTTGCTGTAGTGTGTAGCTCGAAATAATTGCATTGCAGTGTGGGCTTGTGAGGGCAGGCAGGGAGGGGGCAGAGCTGCATGGCCAGTGAATGAATCAAAGTGACAGCCTCTGCCTCAGTGACCTGTATGTATGATCAGGACTCATGTATCTAGGACTGTGACTTAAAGCATGGCAGCAGGCTGTACACCCTGAAGGACTAAGCTCATCAACATCTTGGCTCGGCCTGCTGCCTGTTACTGTTACCATCTGCCTGCACTGCTTGCTTCACTTAAAGGCTGAGCTCATAAAAACATCTTTTCTTGCTTAGACCCGACTGGTGTCAAAGCCTTGCTCGCAGAGGTTTTTTTTGCATTTCTGGCCAGGCTTTTGAGATTTTTGTGTCCCATGTTTGACGTTTCTGCTGCCAACCCAAAGACAAGACAGCTGATTGCAATTTCATCCGTGGTTCTCTGCCAGAATTATTATATCTGTTTTTTCCAATTAGTTTCCTGTTTTGCTTTTTTCCAAAGTGCAAATTTTAGTTTCGTTTTCATTCGTTTTTAATGATTAAAACTTGAGGTGGGACTCACCAGACGATATAATTACAATACTCAACTCACGATACAGTATCATTGCGATTTTTAACATCTATGCTGAGCATTGCAATAACAAAAATTGCCAATCATGCCCTCAAAGTTAAACTTTGTCAATATCAGATAGAGTCAGTCTGCTATCAGTTTGGGATCAGTCTGGGATTGAATGGAGTGAAGTTGGCAGTTACATCTGCGATCTGCAATAATACATCATTTAACTGTTGTCTAAATCAGCAGGAATTCACATTTAACTATTACATTTATGCTCAACAACCTTCCAGGTCTATAGGAATAACCAGAACTGACTGACAGCCAGCTAAGTCGAGTCCCCTTGAGTTGTGCAAATTGACATCAACTCATTCAGACCGATAATAACATGTTGGCAATGTATCTGCATTTATCAATTAGACAGCAAACCTTTGACAGTCTCTTTAAGAGTGACTGCAGTCAGTTCAAGTCAGACTGTGACTGTTTGCAGAAAGTTTGCCTCGTATTAGACAACCTGTGCATTTACCTTGAGATCAAAAGTAGTTGTGAATGTACAACAGGCTCAAGCTTTGGGAATTTATACAAGGAGGTTGTCGTCCTATTTTTACTCTTGACTGAGCCTTTAGCTTCCTCTGAATTAGGGGGTATATTTGTCAAGCAAAGTGTGTCCATTGTTGGATGGATTTTTGGTTAAATGCAAGTTTGCTAGGCTAACTAATAAATAAAGCCTTTTTAGACAGGGACATTTCTATATATGTTTCTGTTTTATGTTAGATTTCTACACTTTTAGGCGTTCTGAATTGCTGTAAATTTGGTAGTTTTATTGAAAAAAAAAAACGTAATATTAAGAATGCTGGCTATTATCTTTGCCCCTATAGTATCAACTGTTTATTAAGTATCACACTGTAAAATATAATAATTTCTTTTATTTTAAAAAAGAAAATAATCTTCGAATCAACATCAGAGTTGCTTTCACAGGTATTTGTAATTCCACTGTATAAACATTGAAAAGGTGAAAGAAAAGAACAGTTAGTTCAGTTTTGGGGATTAAAATGAAATGTAAATGATTTTTCATTGTTTTGACTGGAGGACACCTTTATTAAGAAGACCTGAGTTTGTTCAGTCAGGCATTGATTTCTACACTTGGGGGGTGATCAGGGCTGAGACATACTCTGCTGTGTTGAGCAGATAGAAATAATAGATGGGCAACCTGGGTGTGATGAAGGCTGGAGGTTAGAGCAGCGCTTTTGTAACTCAGGTCAGGTCAGATGCTGCCCCACCTCTGCAGTCTTTCGGGGTAGTTGTTACTCATTAGTGCAAGAACTTCCCCGATTATAAATGCTAGATTTCCAGGAATCAATTAAATTATTCACAGTGCCCTAATTTCAGGTTCTGTTAGGCACTTCTGTACACCAATAGTGGATTTTACTGTTTACACTGTCTGTGTAATATGTGATAACTTAATAAAATAATAACAGCTTAACTCTCCAGTCATTATTCTCAGCTATTCTCATTTGATTTCCTACCTGCTGAGTTAAATGCTTAAGGTCGTGTGGACTCTTGTGGTTAGATGTGAGCATAACGAGTTGATTCAGTTCTGTCTCATATGTTATGTTCAAGCTCAAACTGTGCATGAGTCATCTTTTTATAAATTGATTTATTAACCCCTGGACTTTAACAGCTGATCTGTGTTTCATCAAGATTTCTGCTTATGTTCAAAACATTCTGCACACTTTTAGGAATAAGGTTTATCTCAACCTTTGAAGCAAACTCAAAAAGCACAGGCAGCATTAATCCGAAGATGAATCTTATTTTTAAACTAGAAACTATGCTGCTAAACTCAAATACTGTGTCTCAGAGCTATTTTGCTTTCAGACTTGGACCTCCCTCTCCCTTTTCCTTCCATCTCTGTCATATTCTTTAGCTTTTCTTTTTGTATATGGATGTGTGTGAAATATGAGCGCAGACATAACATCTATCTGTTGGTAAAAAAGAAACAAATGATGTTATAGCAGTTTTTCTTCTCAGTCATCAGCTTTCTTTTGTGCTTTTGTTGTGTGGGGTTTGGGTCGGATGAGGCAGTGGACTGGATCTCTCCTGAAATGTACATCTGTGTCCATGTTGGGACCTTCAGATGTCTTGATTTGTTTAATTGAAAACTCAAAGATATTTACTTTATTACATAACTGACAAAGAAAAAAAATGTTAGCCACATTTAAGTCTCTTCAACTTCTCTTAACTTTTATTTTAATCAGCTAGTTCATTCATTCATTCATTAATACAGTTCACATGGTTATGAAATTTGAAAGTGACAGTTATGCATTAATTACATTTTTCATACGTAAACTCCATGTGTCTGCTAGCCTTGAGTACCACAGCTCCAGTCAGTACCAGATTTTTTTAGGAAGGAGGAAGGGGAGGAGTTCATAAACTGTGATCATAACGTATTCTCCTTTTCAGTCCTTTTTCAATGCCTCAGTATAATGTCAAAAACAGAAGATGTTCCTAATATGCTCTTCTCAGACATGAGAACAGAAATCCCTTTTTGTTTACAAGGGGCAGCCAATGAGAAGAAGACTTTATGGGAGAGAATAGGGCTAAAATAGTATTTCAGTCAGTGAATGAAATAAGAGGTAATTGAGACTCACTTTAAAGTAAAGAAACATTATTCTGAACTGTGAATCATGCAAAGCTACTCTAGTAGAGTCTAAGAATAACAGCATGGAGTTGGACATGAGCACAGTAGGCGCTCTTCAAGGAAAACTTTATTGTAAACATCTGATTTTGCTCACCTCATAATGTTTGTATAGCTCCAGCTTCATATTTTTAAAATAAACAGATAAAACGTTTGTTTTACAAGCACCTTTCATCATAACCATCAAAATCTGGGAAGCAAATTATACAACTACACCAATTATACAAAGCAGTGTTTGCCTGACTAGATGAATGTGAGGATTTTTCTGTTGTTTGTGTGATCGAAGCCTGCTGCAATAACCCATTTCTTCAATGTAGAACGAGTAACTAGAGGAGAGGCCTCGGCTGATCCACTGACCTACTTCCTCGTCATTTTTTCAGTGTGACTTATTTTCATCTTCCTTCCTTTTCTGTAGACATGTCAGACATCGTTCCTCCAGAGGTTAGACCCAAACCAGCTGTCCCTGCCAAACCCCCAAACGTGGGGGCTCCTTCTCCTTCTAGCCCCTTCCCACCCCAGGGCCTGGGTGTCGGAGGAGGCGGCATCTCTGCTCCCCCACCGAGCGCCATTCCAGTTCCCATTGGAAGTCATGGTCCGAGCCATGGTGGCAGTCACAGCGTGGGTCATGGCATAGGACACAGCGTTAGTCACGCTGGAAGTCACGCTGGAAGTCACGCTGCACCACACAGCGGCGGTCATGGTCATGGTGGCTCCCACAGCTCCAGCGGGGGATCCACTCTGCTGGGATACATTGGTATCGACACCATCATTGAGCAGATGAGGAAGAAGACCATGAAGACGGGTTTTGACTTCAATATCATGGTAGTAGGTACGTCACAGTAGACTTGCTTTATGCCTGGACACTTTCTGCCTCTATGGTGCTCCAACCTTAATTCTTCTGCCTTTCACTTCAGGTCACAGTGGTCTGGGAAAGTCAACCCTGGTGAACACCTTATTCAAGTCCCAAGTGAGCAGGAGGAGTGCAGGATGGGCTCGTGATGAGAAGATCCCCAAAACTGTGGAGATCAAGGCAGTGTCTCACGGTGAGTGCAAGGACAGAGAGGCTGCTCTTTCTTTAGAGCCAGGCATTTATATAGCACTTAATTAAAGAGAGAAAATGAACAATCTTTGGCCATGTTCTTAAAAGTCCCGCATAGCCTACTTATAGTTCATCAGTGCACCCTGGAAGCTGCCAAGAAATCTAAGCAGCTGAAGGATGGGCCAACTTCTGCCTCTCCTGCAGGCACTTTTGATCACTTGTTGTTTTCGACTGTCCGTGTGCTGGGAATTTAATTGTCATGAATTAATTTTTCAAGCTGCTCTGTAATAACTCTCTTATGTGTTATATAAATAAATCAATGCTGAGACCTACCTTATTTGCGTTTTGTAGCTGTACAGACAAAGTCGAAAGAAGGTTAGGTTTTCATCGCTGTCTGTTGGTGAAATCTCTAAAAATGAACAGATGCTGAAATTCAGTTCAGAGATGGCTGAAAAACAGCAAACAGATCTCTGCTCAGTTTTCTGCTGTCATGTGCCAGTGCACAGTTGGGCACACTGTGGGTTTCCAGGCAATGTTTACAATGTAGAAACGTTTTTCATTAAAGACAGGCACAAAATCAAGGGCAGGGATTGCTCAGTAGGTAGAGTATTCGCCCCATGATCGGAAGCTTGGGGGTTCAAATCCACTGAACGGCTACCCTGAGGTACTATTGAGCAAGGGTCTCTACACACTGCTCCCTGGGCGCTGGATTGGTAGTTGCGTACTGCTTCACTGAATGAATGGGTTAAGTGCAGAGGACTAAGCAATCCCCTACGGTATTAATAAAGTATGCATTATTATTTTAAAGGTACAATATCCAAAAATAAATAAATAGATAATAATAACATTTAAAACCCCTTAGCAGTCCAATTAGTCCCCTAAACCATCCAATGTACCGTGGGCGATACGTCCGACTGCTAACAGGTTAAAAAAACAAGCTGACAGGAACATGTAGCAAGAAATATGATGGAAAACCAAGGCTAAAGATCTGATAGTAGCTGATTGGCAGCAGAGGTGTAGAGGTCAGGTGGTGCTGAATGATCCTGGCATGGTACTTGAGTAGTCGATGTTCAATGCAGAGATTTGCACACATGTCTACATGTTGTTGCTGCATGCTGTCACCAGGAGGCAGTGTTAAAAGCATGTGGAAGAACCTCTAATGTGGTCACTGCTGTTTGTGCTTGTTTGTCCTTTAGCTTAGCCTCTGCAACAAAGACAATAGTAAGAATATACAAAACAAACTGTTTTATATTTATTGTTATTTTATGCTTCCTCTCCTGTTTGTGGTTGACTTTGATGTTCAAGCCAACTTAAAAAAAGAAAACTAAAACTGTTTGTTTGGATATTTTGTGTTCTGTTGCAAAAAAGAAAATACTTTGCCTTGTGGATATCCATTGGATTTGTCAATCTCAGGCTGCTGGAGTTTCATGCACACTTAAGATAATCCTTTGAATATGTTTTTGCTTATACTAAAGACTGCAGATTTCTGCTGCCGCCCTGTTTACTTTGAAAGTACAGTGATAGTGGTGGAATAACTTCAGCAAAACAAAATAGCTATAGTGTTTTAGGATAGACTTGGGAAGTTGTGAGCTTACCTTTTAAGGCTGGGTCATCATGTTTTATAACACAACATCAAGTAAAATAGGCTTCTGATATTTCTACACTTTTTTTACATCTCGTTTATGATGGACTGTTTGGAGTTTGACAGATTAAAAAGGAGCTTCAATTTTGTATTAAAACTTTTTTGTGTTATTTTCTTATCCAACGTTTAGATTGTATGGCAGGTTTGTTTGGTCTGCTGCTGCTTATAGTTTATTCTGTCTTTCTGTCTGTAATTGTTTCTCCAATACACAGATTAATTAAGAAGAAATCCTTTGGAAGAATTAAACATGATTTTTTTGAGATACAGAATCAGTTATAATATTTGGCAATTAGACCCATCATAGCAGCAGAATGCCAGCATCCAGAGTCCAGACACTGGTGGTGGTGAGGATGAAGATGAAGGCTTGGATGGAGCTCTGAGATGGTGAGGAAGTGGGTTGCCGAGATTTAAAGTATGCAGAATGCAGGCTTATTGGTTCGCTGAAGGCAAGCAAGAAGATGATTGGGAAAGAGCAATGATATCAGTATTGACTTTGACAGCATTGGAAAAGTGGATGTGTTGAAAAGTATAGATCATAGCAGCTGAACACCCAGGATAGCAGGCAGATGAGTGATAACAGTGTTTTTTTAAGCTCCAGTGCATTTGACCTCACAGGGCCAACATATTGCAGGGTGTTGCTCACTATCATTTTAAGATCTGCTGGCGTGCTGCGTGTGCTTTCATTTCACTGTTGTTTGACTGACTGGGGGTTTAAAAGGGTCTTATTTAACCTCAGTGAAGTTTCTGAGAGTGCGGGCAGTCGGTCATATTTCACAGGAGTCACAAAGCACCACATCGCTGAACTCAGTTTGTGGAGCCTGATCAAAGCTAGGACCAACCATGACCCAATTTAAAGCCCAAAGTATTTGTGAGTAAAATGCAAGATAACCTCAGAGCTCAGAGTTATGTCTCCATGGTAACAACCGTAGATCAGCCTGACAGCTTATGCAAAGATGTAAACATAGCTCAATTTGTGGCTCACTTTCAAAGTTACAGGATGAGGAATCAGAAAGCTGTTCTTGTAGAACATCTGTGTAACTGAGAAGCTTTCCACTCAGGTAACAGGGGCAAGCAGTGACAGTCAGCCGTGTGCTTGATTTGAATAAAGTTTTAAATTATCCACAGTGCAGCCCAAACGAATCGCTATTTACAGCTACTCTGTATAACATTTGAAAATGTCGTATTTTGGTGCCCCTCCCCCACTATTAGTATCAAATCCTCACTGTGGCAGACAGCTCACTGTGTAGCATTCAAGCCTGTGCTCATTATGCCTTCTGGGACCTAGCTGCCATTTGCACGTCCTTGACGACTTATGAGCTCCCGAGGAAACTGTAGGGACATGTCAAGCCTGTGGGCTGCTACAGTTTACGTGATCATGCTCCCATTGCCTGCGGATGACAGTACCCTGATATTATTATGCCAGGAGACGAAGCATAAAAAATTCTGGCCATGCTATTAATATTGTATTTGCTGTTTGTGTGATTATGGCAAACACGAACATTCAGTCATTATGTTGAATATTCAAGTTTTTATTTATTTTTAAATAAAAACATTAAATGTGTTCTTCTTCTGTGGTAAAGGTAAGTACATCCTTGGTTTAGACACTACCTTTGCCCCCTTCAGCATAAATAACTTCTTGTAGGTGTGTAATTGCCCAAGAGACTCTGGGATCAGCTTTCTGCGACTTTCTATGTGAAATTCCTTCAGTTATTGGATGTTAGAGGATGTTGGCTGTGCAGGAATTGGTAGTTGCACAGACTGCGTCACATCCTGAAGAACACTTTGAAATGATGCAGACGCTGCCCAGACCACGGACATCTCCTAAACTGCTTTCGCCACTGTCTTGTTTATCTAAAAGAACTGGTCTTTGCCTTTATTGCCACTGGTAAACAGTCAGTTTTCTCTGATGCTCTCTTTGAAAAGCAGAAGCTATTTCCTGGCAGGCATTTCATGGAGGTGCATGCACTACCATACCTGCAAATCCTGTGATGAAATTTTGCAGCTCTGTGAGATTTTAAATTATGGGCAGCATAGTGGTTAGTGAAATCATCTCACTGATTGGCTTGGGCCTCTGTATGTGGAGTTTTTGGGTCGGTTTTGACTCTGGCTTCAGGCGATAGATTGATTGATCCTGGACAAACGAATTTCTTGTAGCCACTTGTAGATTTTTTATTTTTATAGTAGAGCATCCTAAATCTCTGAGGTTTAGTTCCACTACTTGGTACATAATCTGGAAAATTTCAAGGTGAAAATCATGTACCTTATTTTTCCAAATAATTTGTTTATTATATAATTAAGTTTTAAAATGACTTCTAAATATGATGTTTATCACTCACTGTATCACTTTTATCTATGGCCATTGTTCAAAAAAGAAGAGAAAGATTTGCATGTCAAGTGCACTGCCTCACAAATGTGCTTCTGGAAGAATGGTTACATATTCCCATAAACACAGGCCTATACCTTCTGCAAAACCTTCCCAGAAGACTTGAAGCTGTTATTGTTTATTTTGCTGATTTCTTTGTGTGAACATGTTGTTTTTTTTTAGTTATTGAAGAGGGTGGTGTGAAGATGAAGCTGACAGTTGTCGACACTCCGGGCTTCGGAGACCAAATCAATAACGACAACTGGTGAGATTTCCAGCTCCGGCACTGTTAAAGCATCATAAATGTCATAATAACTGCCTTATATCACCGAGGACAAATCTCCACCTTTCATCTTTAAAAACTGTATTCAAGGTTTAGGAGTGAATCAGTGCTCCCTCAAACATGTTTTTTCCTGCCTCGGTGATGTTTTGCTTCTGTTGTATCCACAGCTGGGAGCCCATCTCCAAATACATCAATGAGCAGTATGAGAAGTTCCTGAAGGAGGAGGTCAATATCACCAGAAAGAAGCGAATCCCGGACACCAGGGTGCACTGCTGTCTCTATTTTATCTCCCCAACCGGACACTCGTAAGTTAAGCTTTGGCTGTATGGAAGTAAATCAATCAGACCATCTTTAAGTATCTGATTCTTTAAGGGATGTGGGTTTTTTAAGTAATCTGTAAATGGCCTGTATTTGTATAGCGCTTTACTTGGTCCTTAAGGACCCCAAAGTGCTTTACACATTCACCCATTCACCCATTCACACACACATTCACACACTGTATGCTGGTGAGACACACACGCACAAAGCTCACAGTGTTAATGTCTCTTTATTCAAAAAACATTTAATTTCACTTTATCAAAGCCTTAAATTGAGTGTGCTACTTTATATTGCAGACAGCACACACCTCTCTCTCCTTTTCACAATTAGCTCCTGCTGACAAGTGTGAAATTGCTTTCTAATGAATAAGTGGATACAGTCTTTTGTGTATTACTGCCAGCGTATCTCATCTTTCTTAGCCAGGGTAATTGAGACCGACAGGATGTCTTATGTGCAGGCAAACAAGAGCTGGGACACAACCTTTGTTCAATGATAAGCCCACTTGAAAAAAAAAAGATTCTCACTGTAAGTCTTTTGTAATCGCTGCAAGGCCAAGGAAAGGTAATGAGACGTATGAGAAATGACAAATGAATTCCAGACGCCTCCTTTTATTCAGTGTTTATGAGCTTCCACATCTCCTATATCTGCCCTCATGACTCACTGTAATTATTTGTCCTTCTGCTTCAGTCTTCGACAGCTAGATACTGAGTTCATGAAGCGCCTGAGTCACTCGGTCAACATTATTCCCATCATTGCCAAAGCAGATACACTGACCATTGAGGAGAGACAGGAGTTCAAGCAGAGGGTGAGTTTCACCAATAATCTGACTTCAAAATGTCTTTCTTCATAGATATTTACTGATGAGTGTGCAAAGCTGCTGTAATAAACATTTTATACCAGCAGTGGATCCAAGTTACTAAACTCTACAGCTAAAAAGTTTTCTCAGTGATTTGACTTCTCATCCAGAACCTCAGTGACCTTCAGTGAACTTTTTTCTGATTACTTCATGGTCTCAGGCACTAATTTTTAAGTCTTATTCAATGATCCCAAGGCCAGTAAACACAGTATGTTGGGCGAACTGTTTGCCAGCCACTAGCAATTTGGCCCAGAGACAGTGATTTACCTGTCAAGTCATACACCTGAAAATACCAACAATCATCAATCATCAAACCGATTGTTCAGATAGTTTTAAATGTGAAGAAATGCAGTATTTTTACCTGTTCCTGTCCATCCAACGCAACAGAATTAAGAAGGAGCTAAAAGAACATCTGTGTGCAGATAAACTATTAGTTTAATTTGCTAAGAAATTCAATTCAATTCAATTTCCCAGATTTCTTGTATGCTTTGCTGATAGTAGTCATCCACCCCAGGATTCGGTGTTTACTCCACTACATTTATTTTAAAGTTTCAGTTACTAATTACATTTCTGACATAGATTTATAATATTAAATATAAATCTACTAATAGATTATTAATCTATGGTAGGTTTATAAATTAAGCTAGCAATGTATGAAATCATTTTCCTGGTTGTAGGCCAGTAAAAATACACAAGGGGCTGGTAAAAGTCTGTCCTAGCTGTTTCCCAGTAGAGAAAAACTGAATGAATTAATTAAAAAAGACTTTTGGTCCTTTGTGCAGTGTTGGGTACCGTTGTGACTAATGTTTTTTTTTTATTCATTTTTCCTTGCTTTTGTCTGCACTCCAGGTCAGGAAGGAGCTGGAGATGAGCGGGATTGAATTTTACCCACAAAAAGAGTTTGATGATGACATGGAAGACAAGAGTGACAACGATAAAATCAGAGTAAGTCACTTTTTTGTCTCACGCGATATTTGTGGAGCGATTTTCTTCCTTGGCATTAGAATGAATCTTTGATACTCAGGTTTAACCCAGCCTCTTTCACAAACATGCAGCGAGTCCTCTAAGCAGAATGCCAGGGCACTTGGGCATGTGGTGCATTTGTTTCATCTCATAAACCTCGCATAGCTCTCTTCGGTACACTGAACCATGTTCAAATGTCTCTGTTCACAGGAGGCGATGCCCTTTGCTGTGGTGGGGAGTGACAAAGAATATCAAGTGAACGGCAAACGGGTTCTGGGGAGGAAGACAGCGTGGGGAATTGTGGAGGGTGAGTCAAACGCTCTCCATGAACGAGTTTCTCTGTTTGGTTTTTTACACAGGACTGATGTTGATGGATTTCTGTCTCTGTTTTTCGGCTTTGTGCAGTTGAAAATCCAAACCATTGTGAGTTTGCTCAGCTGAGAGATTTTCTGATCAGGTAAAACTTTCTTTTAAAGCATCTTTTTAAATAATAATGCAAAAAAAGTGGAATAAAGAAATGAAATAAAACAAAGAAAAAAATCACTTTTCTCTATTAGTAAACTTTCTCAGCATTTTAACAGTAACACAAATGTACTGATCGCCAGTAACTGGTCACTTTATTAGGTACACAGTGCTAGTATTGGGTTGCCCAACACCGCCTGACTGAACTGATGATACAAGGCAGAGTATCCATGCTTTCAGGATGTTAAGGCCAAAATTCTGACTCTAGCATCTGAATGTCACAGCAGAAATCAGTCCTCTTCAGACCAGATGACATTTTTTAATTTTCCATTGTTTTGTAAGCCCCTGCAAACTGCAGCATCAGTTTCCTGTTTCTAGCATTGCTGAAGTGACACCTAGAGTGCTCTTCTGCTGCTGTACCCCATCTGCTTCAAGATTCAGTGTGCTGTGCATTAAGAGATGCTCTTCTGCATACCTGGGTTGTAACAATTATTTAATTGAGTTAATGTTTCATTCCTACCAGCTTGAAGCAGTCTGGCCACTCTCCTCTGTTCTCTGACATCAACAAACCTTTTTCTCTAAGAGAATTTCCACTCACTGGATATTTTCTTGCTTTCAAACTACTCTCTGTAAACTCTAGTTATGATTTCTGATCCTCAATTTGAACTTCTACGTGCCTGGATGCATTGAGTTGCTGCCATGTGATTAGCTAATTAGATATTTGTGTTAACAAGCAGTTGAGCAGGTGTACCTAACAACGTGGCCAGTGAGTATAAATTTTATTTAAGTGACCATTTGGTCTCTGAAATGTCAGAAAAACAGTTAAAATTTGTAGGGTGGATTTTTGTTCTGATAACCTGGGATAGTTTAACATCACAGAAAGAGCAAATATTCACATTTAAAATAAATTACATTAATTAATTATAGTTTTATGAAGATGGGTCCTGATCAACTATTTGATAAAGCGATTAGTTATTTCCTCTCTAAAAAAAAATTAAAGCATTTTTATTATAATAAATGTGAAATGTTTTCAAAGCGGTTTTTGAATATAAGACTATGCAATTTTCTTTGATTGTGAGAAAACGTTTGTTTCTTGTTTTTGCTTTTACCATTTTAATACCACAACACAAGAACAACAATACTGTATTTCAAAACACAGTAACTCTTATCCCTTCCTCTGTCAAATGAACGTACTTAACTAATAACTCGCCCACTCTCTGTATTTACATTCATCTTTTGAAGGTCTCACCTGCAGGATCTGAAGGAAGTCACTCATAACATTCACTATGAAACGTACCGTGCCAAGAGACTGAATGAGAACGGAGGTCTGCACCCCATATCGTCCGCTGATACCCAGGAGAGCAACCTGTAGTCAGAGAGAGAGTGAAAACAATGAGTCCAATAGATGAATCTACAAAATACTATAATCCTTATCACCACAGCATTGCTGCATGCGTGGAAAAGAAAATTAATGTGTTAAGAATTGGTGTCATTTAATCCCCAAACTCCACCCATCCGTTTCTTCATATTCTTCCCCACCAAGCATATCAAACCCCTCTGTTACCATTTTCCATTCATCCCAGTGAGTCTTTGGAGGAAAGACATAATGTAAAAGAGACTTAGTGCCGGTAACGTTTTTTCCACTGCCAGCGCCTTTTCTCATTGTTCAGAGTGTACATGGAAAGTGCTCGTGTCTCTCGTGTACGGGAGGCTGATTTTTAAGCCTGTGTGTTGTGTAGCAACTGACAGCCGAGTTTAGACAAACAAAGTGATTTGCTCTAAATATTAAAATCATAATTCCTGTTTAGCAACGGTGCATTAGCCGGCTCTGCGGCTGGCTCTGTTGAAATTGCCGATTTTAAATTCTGAGCAGCAGCTGTTCATTTAAAGGAAGAATCCCAGCGGCTTTACTGTCAAGAGGGTTTAACGAACATTACAAGCTGTGCTGCCTTCTTTAATAACCGAGTCCACGAAGGAAAATAATGAACTTTCTTTTGAGAGTTGCAGCATTAGTCACATGTAAAATGCAGTTTATAAGGAGTCCACATGGTGAGTAACTGCTCGCTGCCGATTCAGTGATTCACGGTAACAAACACAAATTTAGCTGTTCATGCAGATGCAGCTCACCGTGTTTTGTTTCAGCACAGTGCTCATACAGGAAACTGCATCTGTGTTCACTTGCAGCAATGAGCTGTGCTCTTGGAGTTCCACCATGCATATTTTATCAAGGTTCAGACTGATTTTTGTTAGATGTTTCCTGTTTAAATAGTTGACAGGCAATAGATGCAGGAATTATAACAAATTGCATATACAAGCTTTCCCAGCTGGAATGACTTGTTTTTGGTCTTTGAGAGCCACTACTATCAGTGCAAACGTTGTTTTGTTTAAATATTTTTGGTTGTTGTTTTTTTCTTTATCATTACCATTCATGGCAAGTAGCCATTCAATAAAATATTATATTAAACCCGAAAGAAATCCCATCACTGGTTTGGTCATCGCATCTTTTTTTGCACACAGGAGAGCAGGAGAATTGAAATATTTTTGATATATTTGTATTAATATTCAATTCCTGCTGTGCACCACTTGGTGGCAGCATGCTGCCACATTAAAGAAGTTTAACGGAGCAGCTCCATCTGCCCCAGATGTTCTGACTGCTGAGATTTTTTTCTCAAATATGTCACATCCAGTTCTGATGAAGTTTACTCTTCTGCTGTCAGCAGCAAAGACATTGGGTTTACAAAAAACTTTGATAATATCACCCTTTTCATAATATTATAACATTGCCAAGGGGTTTACCAGGTTTTCTTCAGGAACTAAATATGATATTCTGCCACAGGCTGTCTGCATTAGAACACAAACTACAAATCTTTTAACATATCTCAATCTTTTTTTAAATCCATTCAGCCTTTTTAATCAATCATATGTATTTGTATGATTTTGAAATCAAGTGTGTGCAACAGTATGGTAGCAGTTGTCCGTGATTTTAGTGCAGTCAGAGGTTTTCGAGCAGAAATCTGAAACAGTGTTAATGAACCATTGTTCCTGTGTTTGTGTGCATGCTTGTGTTAATATTGCCTGTTTGATTACAGCCAGTCGGTTCACTCATTCCTGCAACTTCACATCCACTAACAGTTACTGTGTTTCTGAATGTGTGATGTGTAAATTTAATTGATATATCATAAGGTAAAGCGCTGCTGTCTTACCCCCAAACTAAGCTGATGGCCCCCACGCACACACATATCACCCAGCCCTGTCACTCAGTGAAAACTCGCAATGTACATTTATTTAACAACTTCTCACAAAGTTGCTGTGACACACCGATGTATGATTTCCTGTCTTGTATGGAGTTATTTTTACATTATGTCTTATTATTGTAACTTATTCTTTATTTAATAAAAACACATGATCAAGTTCTTAGAATTTTGTCATGATTTCTCTTCTGAATGTTCACATAACCACCTGTGTGTTGTTGTCTTTGTTGTTTATAATGATGTTACATACTGTGTCAGTGAGGTCCATAATTTATTGGAAAAAGATGCTCTTTTTATAGTTTTAGTGTACACCACCACTGTGGATTGTAAATCAATCAATATGCGATTGACGTGCAGACTTTCAGCTTTAATTTGAGAGGTTTTACAATTTCAGAGGTTAAAAATTAATGGGACAATTGACTCACAAGCAGTTCATGGCCAGGTGCTCCCTTGTTGTTTCATCAGAAATGAAGCAGACATGAAGTCAATTCAAAGTGATTAATTTTTATTTTATAGCTTTTCATTGCAATTTTAAATATGAATCCAAAAATAATCTCAAGTGCAAGCGAAGAAGATCATCATTAAACAGAAAAAGACTGAAGAAAAAACTTGGATGAGTGACGACACATTTCTCCTACTGAAAACACTCCGTCCAAATGAAGAGAATCAGCTGTCTAGGATGTCCTTAACTGCAGCGGTCCCCAACCCCCAGGCCTCGAAACGGTACCGGTCCGTGAATCGTTTGGTAGCGGGCCGCGAGAGTTGAGGCTCAGGTGTGAAATGTATGGTTTTCAGGGTTTTTATCGGTTTTCAGCGTCATTTTGTTATCGTTTTTATCGTTAACTCGGTTTTCCTGGGTCTTTTCACGTGTGTTATGAATAAATCTCCTTTTTCCGGTACCGGTACTGGTTTTATTTTGTTGTATTTATCTGCGACACCTTAAAGGCCGGTCCGTGAAAATATTGTCGGGCATAAACCGGTCCGTGGCGCCAAAAGGGTTGGGGACCGCTGCTTAACTGGATGAGCATCAAGACAACAATATGTATTCTTAAAAAGAATTAACGTACTGAACAGCTCAGCAGTACATGCATGGTGACAAAATTATTTACACCATTAAAAACAACATTATATTATCTAATCAAGTCCAAAACTTGAGGAGGTGTCATTGTCAAACTCTAATATCAACAGACACCTTGAAATAAAGGAGGTTTACAGCAAGGTGCAGACCACTGGTTAAAAAAAACATAAAAGCCTGCACAAGTTTGTAAATGAAAATTTAAAAAAAAATATTTGGACAGATGAAACCAAGATGAACTACCAGAATGATGCGAAGAGAAAAGTGTGCAAAATGAGAGAAACAGGTCTTAATGAAGCATATCACGTCATCTGTCAAACATAGTCGAGGCAGTGTGGCACGGGCATTTGCGGCTTCCAGTTTTTGATCACTAGTAGTTATTTATCATGTGACTGCCAATAGAAGAAGCAAGGACCATACTTTCTGCTGATTCCACCAAATGCTGCAAAACTGACTGCACAGAGCTTTCAAGGATTCAAGAATTCAAGGAAGCTTTATTGTCATTCACATCACATGTTTAAGCCCTGTGTTTTCCTTTGTCTCTGTTGTGATCTTCATCAACCCTCATTTCATGCTGTGTGTTCTGTCTGCCTGCTTAGTTTTTTTGTGTTTTCAGTTTAGTTTCTGTATTCTCAGTTTAGTCAATTTTCTGTTTTGCCATCTAGCAATAAATCTAAGTTTGAGTTGACTTTCTGTCTCCGAGTGTCTGCACATCCTCCTTACCACCACTCCTGCCTGCACACAGCCTTCACGTGACACCCGAGAGTTTCTCAAGGCAAAGAAAAAGGCCAATTCAGTCACCTGATCTGATCTCAGCCAAGCAAAGTGTGGTCTAAGGAGCTTGGAAACGAAAAGCGTCTGGACTTCTTGAAGTTTCATGAAGACGTTTCACCTGGCACAACATAGAAGAGCCACCTCAACGGGACAAGACTCAGCTGTCCATCTGCATCTAAAGGACAAAGGTCAGTCTTTCAAGGACGCCAATGTTCATAATTTGGACAGAGAACACAGATGGTTTGAAAGAGGAGTGAAAGAAGCCATCTATGTCCACTGTGAACGACCATCTTTGAACAGAGGCGCTGATTTACGACACCAACTGTCTGCCATCTATAATCCAGTTTTGAGATCCCTTCCCAGACGCCTTAACGCCCACTCACACCCTGGGCCATCTGACCTCAGGAAATCACATGATAGGGTGGGGCTAGGTTTCACAATGGTTTCACCTGAAACCTTGGCTGATTGTGACCTACACCCGTTTTCACACCTTGGCTCGTGTGATTATGTAGAGGATCAATAGGGGGTCCATGACCCCCTTGGGGGGACACTCCCATAGGGCTTAAAATCATAGGGTTTAAAAATCTGGGACTCTCCACCATTTGCTGTTAGAACTAGAATTGGATGTCTCCAGACAGGTCTTGGTCTCGAGACCACTTTTACGTGGTCTTGGTCTCGTCTTTGTCTCAACGGACTTTTGTCTTGGTCTTGTCCACACGTACCCGGGTATTTTTGAAAACGCAGATTTTTCTATGCGTTTGCACCTTTCGTCCACACGTAAACAACGTTTTTGGTCACTGAAAACAGAGATTTTTAAAAACTCCGGCCAGGGTGGATATTTTTGAAAACTCCGTTTTTGCATTTACGTGTGGACGAGAAAAACGCAGAAAACGCAGTGTCAAAGGTGTGCGCCTTTTTTGACGTCACACTGTGCGCCACGTTATTGTTTCGGTGAAATGAATTTCTACAATACTGTTACTGTTAATTGTACTCTCTGCAGTGTTTAAAAGCTTACATACACACACACAGTTACTGTCCCTCCACACATACGACTCGGTTCTGCTTCTATGCCCCATCCTTGTTTACTATTTCCCACCGAGGCTACTAGACTCCTGATTGACCAACATTTCTGCACGGTTAGGAATATATCGCCACCTGTTGCTTTGGCATGTTCCTAGCAGCGTTTTCCTTCATTTCTGCGTTTACGTTTGGACGGGATTAAATAATGTAAATATGACGGTGTATCACAAAAGATTGATATCAAACTGATCACTTGGTTGCGTTACTTGCTCTTTGAGTGAATCAACAAATGGATAAATAAAAAGCCGAACAGCAATGCTGATTTTTTAGAGAGTCTTAGCTTACATTTCATATTTTCAGTTGTTACCCTCCACGGCTAAACAAACTCTCTAAATCGGTTTCAATTGTGTACTGATGTAACACAACAATGGACATAAGGAGCTTCTTTCAAAGAAAAAACTCAGGTAGATGTTATTTTATATATTATGCTTTGGATGTTGTTCAGTATATCTATGCAAAACAAGAGGAATTTCAATACACAGCAGTATATTCACAGTTGAAACCAGATATTTACATACACTTTATGGAGAAAACATAAAAACTTTTTTTTTACTGTTAAACATCAATTTAGAGTAAACTTTTGTTTTAGATAAATAAATGTTGAAATATCTTTTGAATTAGTTAAATGTCAGAATAAAAAGAGGGAGCTGTCTATTTTAATCACTTTCATCAAATGTAGGAGTACATATACACTAAGTTTATTGTTAATTAATAAGAAAACTCCAGACGATTCCATTCTGAGCTGAAGAAGCTTCTGATAGGTTAGTAGAGTCCATGTGAGTAAATTGGTGGCACAGCTGTGGATGCATATAAGGCAAAACACAGAGCCTGTTTCTTTGACATGGGAAAATCAAGAGATGTCAACCAAAACACCAGGAAAAGAATGTGGAGCTCCATAAGTGTGGCTCAATTTGAATACAATTTGGTGCCATTTGCAATTAAGAAATACAGATAGTTTCTCTCTTTACTCTTAAAGTTAACAAATATGTTTTTTATATTTATCAATCTAAAAAAAATAAACATTTAGTCTGATTTGATGTTACAATTAAAAAAGTGTTTGTGTTTTTATCTGAAGAGTATGTAAATATCTGGTTTCAACTGTATATTTGATGATGTTGGTGTTTGGCTTGATTGTCAGCACAAAGAGGGAGAGAGAGGAACAGAGAGGGAGAGAGAGAATGACGACAGAACAGAGATGGAACAAGAGCAGGTGAGACACACATGTTAGTCAAATGGTTGTTTGCCAAAACTCATCAGAACATGTATCTAGTACCTAGTGTTTCTTTTTAGATACCATTTGTTACTTTTCAAATTCTATATTTATTAAGTTATGCAGGCTTGTTTGCACAACAGGCTAAATAATTATATAAACTTTTCTCAATCTAAATATTGTGACTTTGGTAGAATTAAAAAATAAGTGTAGTGCAGGTCTATGATGATTTTTAGTGCTACTATCATCTAGTTTCTGATTCTGGTTCTGTTTTGGTTAAGTCCTAAGTAGTCCTGATTTTGAACTGTTGTAGTCCTGTTTTAATTCCGGATCAGTTCTGGGTCTGGTTGAATTGGGGTTTAGTCCTCGTGTCTTGATACAGCCCCGACTTTGTTCTGCCTTGCTGCTTAATTAAAAAACTAGTTTAAGGTGTCCTGCATATGTGATATATTTTCCCTATATGAAGTCATTCTTTTTTGAACAAAACTCAAAACAGAGCCTATTAATCTTTCAGTCATTTCTACCCTCACTTAATTTCCTTTTGCTGCTCAGCTCTCACACAGTGGCTCAGCTATGCTCCAATCCCTTCATATTGTGGCCAATCACATGCGAGGATATAGGATATCATAATACATTATGTGAAAAACAGAGAGGGTGAGAGACGCGACAGTCAAGTGGAGCGATGCGTCTGTCCTCTCAGTAAGTGAGTGAGACAGTAGACAGCGGTGAGGAGGGCTGTGCGAAAGCAAAAACACATAAATATGCCTGACACCCAGTAAACGAGCAGATCTGGCTGCAGTTTAAAGACTTTTTTTGTCTCCAGTCTTGGTCTCGGTCTACTCTCTACTTGGTCTTGTCTTGGTCTCGATACCCTCTGGTCTTGTCTTGGTCTCAGATTAGGCAGTCTTGACTACAAGTCTAGTTAGAACTGAAGAAGCTTGTCAGATGAGAGGTCTTGAAGAAACTTTATGAAGTTCAGACGCTTTACTTTTCAAGCTCCTTAGACTACGATGACCTGGATGACTGA